GTGTGTGGCCCCCCACAGCCATGAAGGCAGCTCACCAACCCCTCCCAAGAGGCCCACACAAAACAGGCTCTTAACAGATGACTCCTAGAAAGACAAGTGAGTGACTGCTAAGGGGCTGTGAACCCATGTGTAAGACATATACAGATGAAAAACATTCAATTTGTCCCTGAAAGTTGACTGAAAATCAGTGTCAGATACAGTATATACAGCAAAGATGCTCTCATTCAATGTAGAGCCGTATGTATTTATTTGCAAAAATCCATTTTCAGTTTTGACTGAAATGTTGACAAAAGCCAAATACTGATCTCAAAACTGCTGTATCACAAAAGCTTAAACTAAGATTATTTACTGACACAGTCACTAACCTCATACATTCTTCTGTATTTTGCTTGCTTCGTCATGTGTGGATTAGTACAGCAGTACACACATTTAACACAAAACACTAGTGTCCTGAAGTAAGTGTCCGGGAAGGCGGCCTCCTCCCTGCTGCCCCAGCCCTTACTCAGAACCCTGCCCTGTGGAGGACAACCCTTCCTGCCCCACTTCCACTCTGCATCCCAGTCCAACCCTGCCTGCCTTCAGATGCTTCTCGCCAGCACACTGGCCTTGCATCTGCCTGGAACCCACCTCTCCCCATCCTTGCATCTGGCTCTTACTCCCCTTTCAAGAACAGATGCGAAGATGTCTCTTGCAAGAAGCCACCCCCCACCAAAACCCTCACACCTCGGGCAATCAGAGCACCCCTGGTGTTTTCCCCACCGAGGGATTCATCACACTTTACTGACCTCCAAACCACAACCTGCCCCCACCCTACACCCAGCCTTGTTCCCTTTGGCAAGAATGTTCTTCCCCCAACGAATTCCTACTCTGCCTAAAGGGGGCTCCTCTGATCCCTCAGCCCTAATCTATTTCCTTCGCTGTCCCTGCAGGGTGTCCACAGGTGTGTGTTCTCACGCGTGTATTTAGTCAGTAGGTGTCCTCCTGCTCCGAGTTTGTGCAGGTTTTGTTCTCTACCGTATCGCTAAAACCGAGCACACAGTACATGTTCATGTGATTTGTCGAAAAAACGAAAGAGCAAATGAGACACCCAGGGTAGGCCGCCGAGCCCAACAGAGAGTGAGGAGGTTGAGGAACTTAGTTCCTAAACACCACCAAGCGCGGCGCCGTCGGCCCGCTCCTCCTCGGTCCCGGGCACCCCTCGCCGCGGGGCGCGGCGGCCCCAGCGGGCCTGCCTACCTCGGAGTCCCGGTTGAGGCGGTACACGTAGAGCTGCGAGGTCCCGGCCACCACGAGGTTGCGCTCGCTGTTGTTAAAGAAGTTGCAGTACATGGAGAACTCGAGGCCAGTGGGCGGATGCGCCTGCTTGTACACGGCGTACATGGCGCCGCGCTCGGGCTGCACAGGAAGGGGACAGGGTGAGCAGAACTCCCGCGCGCAACCCCCGGCCCGCCCGCGCCCACCTGGCAGTTGGAGCCGGCTGATGGGGGACCTGTACGGCGCCGAACACGGTCCGCCCAGACGCGGAAGCCGCGCGCCGAGGTTCCGGGTCCTGCGCCGTCGCAGCGCCGCCGAAGTGCGGCGGCCGCGGGAAACTCAGCGGCCCCTGGCGGCCGGGGGCAGCCTCGCGGCTCCGCTCCTGGGCTCCGCATACAGCGCGGCGAAAACCCAGCTCGTGGGAGATCCAGGGTCTCACTGCGGAGGACGCAGAGCCGGCTGGAAGCCGGACGGTGGCTGGGCGGCTCAGGGCTGGCTGGTCAGGACCTGCCCGTCCCCCGGATCCCAGAATGGGGTCACTGCCGAGGGTCTCTCCCGTAAGAAGAGGCGAGGTCTCAGGCGCCATGCCAGATGCTGGCAGCAGTGTGGAGGCCGGGGGAGCAGAGACCCCCCGGGCGCAAACACGCCCCGAATTAGGCCCTGGCGGCTGTCGCAAGCGTGGCGGAGCCCGACTAGCACAGGAGTCAGGAGAGCTTCCTGGAGGCGTCTCGTCCTGTTCCTGCTCAGCATTGCCCCCGCAGGACGACTCCCCCCCGCCCCCCCGCCCCAACACCAGCACCAGAAGGCGAGCTCACGACGCGGGGCCCTGGCGTGCCCCTCTACGAGCCCCTCCGCTGAGGACACCTTTTCACCCGTCTTGCCCACTGCTCCCTCCCCAGGCTTGGTAGTTGCCCGCTTCAAGGGCCCTGGAGCCAGGACCACTACGGGCAGCTAGGCAGACCTCTCTTCACTAGGCTCGGCAGGGACGCGCCCCAGGTACCCTCCAACAGGTATGGGATTTATTTATTTATTTATTTATTTTTGGTATGGGATTTAGAAAGGGAAAAAAGAACAACTTCCCCCCCCCCCCCTTTTTGGCTGCCCCGTGACTTGCAGGATCTTATTTCCCTGCCTAGGGATGGAATAGAGAAAGCTGAGCGTGGAAGAATTGATGCTTCTGAACTGTGGTATTGGAGAAGACTCTTGAGAGCCCCTTGGACTGCAAGATCAAACCAGTCTATCCTAAAGGAAATCAGCCTTAAATATTCATCGGAAGGACTGACTCTGAAGCCGAAACTCTGATACTTTGGCCACCTGATGCGAAGAACTGACTCATTTGGAAAGACCCTGATGACAGAGGATGAGATGGTTGGATGGCATCACCAACTTGAGGGACATGAGTTCGAGCAAGCTCTGGGAGTTAGTGACGGACAGGGAAGCCGGGCGTGCTGCAGTCCACTGGGATGCAAAGAGTGGGACACGACTGACCGACTGAACTGAATGAAGGGATGGAATCTGTGCCCTCTGCAGTGCAGAGGGGAAGCTCGGAGCCCTAACCACTGGACTGTCAGGGAATTTCCAAGAAATGAAATCTTAAGAAATAAAACAAGAAAATATAGGCAAAGCCAAGAAAATAGCAAAGTATGTGTTTGTTGCATCCAGACCTGCCCACTTAGTCATGTCAGCGACAAGACTTGAGCTGTGGACCAAGGGGTCACTTGGGTGCCTGGGCAGGTGTGTGACCGACCCCTGAACCACACCAGTGCCTTTAAAAGTCGTAACAAAATTGAACCCTGAAGAGAGGTGTGGACAGGGGCAGGGCTTCTCATGGGCCTGGGAGAACACAAGCAGCCCTTCCTAGAATTACTGAGGCCTTTAACTGTGTCCACATGTCAGCAGGCCCTCCGTGGGGACCCTGCCTCCCAGATGCACTATTGTATGTCATGCATTTACAGGTATTTTTTCGTGACAGAAGTCGTGGGGGAGTGGGGAGTAGCTGCTACTCTCCCAACTCAAGCCCCTTCTCTTGTAGGAAAATAAGCCCCCCTCCCCCTCAGCCCTACATGGCCCCCTGGAGGGCTGTGTCTGAAGGGGCTGCTTTAAAGTAGTTTGGGTATTCGGGTCAGACAGCAATGAAGAGTCACAACTTATCTTGCTTCCTTGTAAAACAGCATCTGAGTTTCATCCCTGCGTCATTATCCCTCACTTTTTGAGAAACTGGTCCTTTTTGTCATTTGTCATGTTCTCCTCCCCCCAAATCTTGATCTGGGAGTAGCAGAAGTATATCCCCTGCCCCTCACCCAACATAAAAGCGGCTCTGGTTTGTGTCCATATGGATCTGGGGCTCCTGCTTCTAGTCCGGTCTTGTCCTCAGAGACTTGCCTTTTTCTGGTGGAAAAGTTTTTAAACATTTTTAAAAATATTTGTTAAATATTTAAAGTAACCTGAATTTGTGCCCAGAGATACTCAGCCAGTCATCTCCCCATTTAAAACTCAGAGATATTTTCATCCCAGTGAGAGCACATCTCCAACTCAAGGCTCCTCTGTCTTGCTTGTGCTGAACCAGGTGGGCGACTGTCTCAGAGGTTTTCTCTCTTTTGCCAAAATTCCAGCTAACAAAGTTCTGAGAGCTTGAAAAAAAGTCATTAAAAAAAAAACAAACAAAACTGGAGCCAGGGCTTCCCTGGTGGCTCAGTGGCAAAGAATCTGCCTGCCAATGCAGGAGACATGGGTTGGATCCCAGATCCAGGAAGATCCTACATGCTGCAGAGCTACTAAGCCTGTGTGCCACAACTATTAAGCTTGGGAGCCACAAAGGCTGAGCCCACGTGCTGCAAATACTGAAGCCCAAGTGTCCTAGAGTCCATGCTTCTCAACAAGAGAATCCACCACAATGAGAAGCACACACACTGCAACTGGAGAGCGGCCCATGATCCCCACAGCTGGAGAAAAGCCTGAGCAGCAATGAAGGATGGAGCTTCGCTGTGACGAAGACCCAGTACAGCTAAACTAAACAAACCAAAAAAAATCAACTAGCCATAGCCACCCCGAGGATGTGCTAGAAGAGGGAGTGGGCAAAGCTGGGGCCGTGGCCAGGACACTAGCCCTCCTCGTCCGAGTCAGACGGGCAGTCATGGCACTCATGTCACAGGGCAACTGTGATGGCTAAACAGCTCAGCGACCACAGAACCGACTCAGACTCAGCCTGGCACGTGGTACACGCCCTCACAATGTGCGATGTGTCTGTGGGAGAACGGGGCCCAGGGTGGAGAGAGCCAGAGGCACTGAAGCAGCTCCATCTTGGGAAGAGCTGCAGCAGGTGGGCAGGAAGCAAGGAGGAGGGTCGGGGGCAGGAGGTTGCAGTCCTGAGTGGACACCAGGCCCTGCCTGCTGCCCGAGCCCTGGACCCACTTCTCTGGGCTTCGCTTCACATATATCACAGACGCGGGTCTGAGGCTGGTTTCTTGGAGGGCCCTGAGCTCAACCGTCCTGACTCCCCATCAGGCACCAGGCACTGCTGTGGGGAGAGGCCGCCCCACCTGTCGACCTTTCTTGGTGGGAAACCCTCCTCTCCTGGGGAGGCGAGATGAGGCGAGCAGACTGGGCTCCAAGGACAAGAGCATTTATTGAAGCTGTGAACTGGGGCGCAGGGGAGGGTCTGGGGCAATCCGGCAGATTTCCTGTCTGAAGGGCTGCTAGAGCCCAGGGTCAGGAGCCAGAGCCAAGGGCCGAGGAGGCAGAAGCTCTCAGAAGGCGATGTTATCCTCATACAGCGACAGCAGCAGCAGGACGGTCCAGCCGCCCAGCAGGCCAACGTTGTGGAGCAAGAAGAGGAGCCAGGGCCGTCGGTCGCGCACGTTCAGCATGGCCGGGAGCTAAGGACGGGGCCTGGGTCAGGGCCGGCTCAGAGCGCCCGCCTAGCGCCCTCCCGGGGAAACCCCAGACCGCCCGGCTCTGACCATGTCGCAGAGCGCCACGTAGAGGAAGAGGCCGGCGGCCACCGCCAGGATCCAGGTCTCGCCGTCTTCGCCTACGCCGGCCGCGAGCGCAACGTAGAGGCCGATGAAGGCCGTGAGCGCCGAGGCCAAGTTCAGGAGCAGCGCTCGGCGCACCGACAGCCCCGCGTGCAGCAGGGCTGCGAAGTCCCCTGGGGCGGGTGGTGGGGGTGGTTTAGTCGCTCCGTCGTGTCCGATTCTTCAGACCCCATGTACCGTAGCCCCCCAGGCCCCTCTGTCCATGGGATTCTCCAGGCAAGAGTACTGGAGTGGGTTGCCATTCCCTTCTCCAGGGGATCTTCCCGACCCAGGGATCGAACCTGGGTCTCCTGAATGGCAGGCGGATTCTTTACTGTCTGAGCCAAGAGGCGCGGGTGGGGCTGGGGTTAGGTAGAGGGCCGCGCCCACTCCCCGACAGTCGGGCCCAACTGCGCGGCGGACCAGCCACACCCAGACCCCCGATGTGGGCAGGCGCCGCCCCCGGCCGGCGGGAACTCCGCAAGGCTCACCCAACTCGTGGGGCACCTCGTGGCAGAACACGGCCAGCGAGGTGGCCAGCCCCGTCTTCCAGGAGGACAGAAAGGCGGCGCCCACTGCCAGCCCGTCGGCGAAGTTGTGCACGGCGTCGCCCAGCGTGATCACGTAGGGTAGCAGTCTCAGCTCTGCGGGCGCGGCGGGCGTGGGTGAGCGTCTGCCCTGGTCCGCTCCTCCGCCCCTCCTCCCCGCCCCCGTGCCTGCGCCGCGCACCGAGACTCTGACCCCCAACGCTCCGGGGCCTCCCTCAGGGCTCACCTGGGTTCAGTCTCTGGGGCTCCGGGCTCAGCAGCTCGGGGCTCTCCTCCGCCACCTGGAGGGGAGACCGGGTCGGGGGGCGGGCCGTGTAGATCAGGCTCAGGGCGGGAAGGTGAGGAGGCACGCGCGGAGCCAAGTCCCCAGATCAGGCCAGGGGCGGAAGCCCTGGAGGGGTGACTGGAAGCACAGACTGGGCTCCATCGCGGGGGGAGACGCAGGGCAAGGCGGGCTCACCAGGTCTGCGCGAGAGCCCTCGTGGAGCTGCTTTGGCTGCCGGAGGTTGCTGGGCGCCAGCTGCAGGGACATGCCATGGCTGTGGCCGCCGTGACTGTGGCCATGACTGCAGGCCCCATCCTTTGGGTCCTGTGGGGACAGCGGCTCAGGATCCACCAAGCCTCTCCCATCCCTCCCCGCACCACGTCCAACCCCCAAGCACCTGACCTCAGGGTCCAGGGGCAGCAAGAGGTTGAAGAGGCTCTCGAACAGGAAGAAGGCATAGAGCCCACCCAGCACAGCTAGGAGGTGCCAGGTGGGCTGGAAACCAAGGTCCTCCCCGTCATGGGCGTGCAGCCCCAGCACCTGGTGGTGGGGGGGCGGGCAGAGGACACTGGACCCGGTGCCTTGGGACCTCCTCCTCCCAGAGAGGCGGATAGAGGGGTCAGGGAGGGCCCTGGCGGGCTGGGGCAACCTTAGGCATCAAGTGCAGGAGGGCGTCACCGGTGAGTGCGCCCACAGCCATGCTCAGGAAGGCCTGGATGACGTAGTGGGAGGTGGCGCTACATCTGGCACAGCTGAGGAGCACGAGCCCGAGGAGGGAGCACAGGCAGATCAGCAGCGTGGCCAGGGAGCCGTACAGGTACCCTGGACAGGGAGGACAGTAAGTGCCTCCCTCAGGACCGTGGCCCCTTACTTTCCTGGGAGGGGTGTCCAGATCGAGTCTGGGAGGAGCAGGAGCCCCCCAAGGTTGCAGGCGGTTGGGTGCAGTCCTGGCCTCGGCTTCCTACTGGCCCCTGGCCTCAAGCCCCCATCCTCTTCCCTTGCAGTACCCCCTTCTCTGTTGCCCCTCCATCCCACTGCCTGGTCTGCCAGCCCTGGCCCCGGCTCTCTGCAGCCCAGCGGCTACTTCCTCCTCTCTTTTTGGTTCCATCTGCATGCTGCCAGCCCCTTGTGCACTGCCGCGCAGGTGCAGCTAGGGAGTAGGGTGAACACTCACTGTTGGCCTGGCTGAGCCGGTCCTGGGTGGGGAGCGTGGGCTGGGGGCTGCAGGCCCCGCTCAGTTGCTGCTGGAGCAGAGCTGGACTCAGTCGGGCCCAGTCGTCCGGCGTCACCCCGGCCTGCTCAGACATTCCGTACACAGCCATGACGTCTCGAGCACTCAGGCACAGCTAGGGTGGGGGTGACAGATCTGGTGTTCAGGGCCCTGAGTGGTCCATGGGCCCCCACCTCTCTCTGGGACTCGGCACATAGATGGCTCACCGTGTCCCATGCACTGGCGCTGCTGTTGGGGGCAGCAAGGAGCACAGGGCCCTGGCCCTTTCCCAGAGGACTGTCATCGCTGTGGCTGTCGTGGGGCTCCGTCGCTCCGCCCAGCCCCAGGCGCTCCATCAAGGCCGCCAGCTCTGGCAGGAGGTGAAAATCCAAGTTTGTGGGCTCCAGCCTTGCACTCCCCAGGGGCACGCATGCTGGGGTTCAGGGTGCTCCCTGGCCTGTAGCCCAGCTCAGGCCTCACCGTCCAGGGTGATGTTGGGGTTCTCGCTGCTGTGCTGCCGGAACATGAAGTCCACGAAGTACTGGGGAGTCGGCAGGGCATGGAAGCAGGCGCCGCTCCTGACGTGGTCCAGCAGGGCAGCCAGCACCGGGCCGGGGCTGCCGGGAGCCCCCACCCCTGCCGCCTCTGCCAGCAGCTGAGGCAGGTCCACACAGGCCTGGGGAGGAGCCGGCCTCAGTGTCTCGAGCAGCGCAGTCACACTGGCCTCTCCCTCCGCTGAGCCCCCGGCACCACAGCCATCCCCTTCCCAGCCCTGCCCCGTCTGGGCTCTTCCTGGGAGCCCCAGGAGCTTTCTCAGCCCCGTCGAGGATCAGGGCCCTCTCGGGGTGCCCGCAGCCCTGCCCGGCTCAGTGGTGAGCATCCACTTGTGACCCCCCAGCCCAGGGTCCCCCGAGCACCCAGAAAGGTGCTGAGGCCCAGCGCCATCTGAATGGTCCCCCTTCTCTCAGGCCCTCTCGGGGACCCTCTTCCCCCAGTGCCTCTGGGCAGCTGGCCCAGGCGCCCACCTGCTGAGAAGCGGGCCGGCCAGCGGCGTGGGTCTGGATCCGCTGCAGCAGCCTGGTCAGGGCCGGGCTCAGGGCCTGAGGGCTCTCGAGCAGGACCAGGAGCTGGTCGGCGCGGGCAGCCCAGCGGCCAGCCTGGACCTCGGCACAGGTGCCCGCCGGGTCGCTGAGGTAGAGGGTAGCGGCGGCACTGAGGCGGGGGATGTGCCTGGGCTCCAGGGCTGGGCCTGAGGGGGCCCCGGGCTGCTCAGGCCTGCCCAGAGCCAGGGCGTCGTCCACAGACAGGCACTGTTGGCACAGATGGGCGGGTGGGGGCCACACACGAGGGCTGCCACCCTCCTGTCCACTGTCCACTCACTCACAGGCCCCCACCCTCCCCCATGACAGGCGGGCATACCCACGGGGGGTCCCCCATCCCAGGGAGGTTTCTGCCTGGAGCCATTGCCAGTTTTGGGGTGGGGTGAGGGGGGCGCTGACAGGGTGGGGGCAGCCCTGGGATCCCAGAGCTATACCACCCCTTCCCAGGGAGGGCAGGGGGCTCTGAAAGGGAGAAGAGGAAGGTGGGCTTGGGCCTGCGGGCAGGGCCCGGCGTCAGGCCACCGCGCGGCCCGCCTCCTGGAGTTTGCCCGGGCCCTTTGCTGCCAGCCTCGGCCTCGGGGTGGAGCGGCGGGCTTGGGCTGGGGCCGGGCCGGAGGACCCGTCGGTTGGGGGTGTTACCTTTCCACACGGCCCGTCGGCACAGTGCACACGGTCCGCCAGTGTATTTAACAGGCCGCCCAGCGCCACGCGGTCCAGAGCGCCCTGGCCTGAGGACAGCAGGGTCAACAGAGGAGCAGGGGGGGTCGCTGTCCCCGACGCCACCAGCGCGGCCAGCACAGCCAGCAGCGGACCCAGCCCTGGCCGCCCCAGGAGTGCCATGCTGCAGCTGCCCGGTGCCCTGAGCTCAGGGTAGGCCGTGCTCGCCTGGGTGGCTGCGGGCCGCAGGAGCTGCCTGATGTGGGACTGGGGCTGGGCTGGGACCGCCCGCCCGGAGAGGCTCTCCAGGCATTTCCTGCGGGGCCCTGTGATTGGCTGGCAGAGGTGTTGCCGCGGGTTAACCATTCCAGTGGCAGGTCCTCCCTGAGCCTGGGGCTGTTGCCCAGGGGGGGTGAGGCCGGGGTCCTGGTTGGACGGGCCTGGCTCACCCCTCAGCTCCTTCAAGGGTCTTGTTACTGAATGCAAGTCTGTGTGCATGACACATGGTGAGGTTGAAGCTTGCAGCAGAGGAAGGTTTATTGTGGTGCTGAGCAAGAACAGGTGACTCATGTTCAAAATCCCTTAAATCTCTGGATGGCTTTGGGGGGAGTCTGCAATAGGGAGAATTTGGGGAGAGGGCTTTCTCATAATTGGTTGGTGGAGACGTAGCGGTATTGCCCTGGGCTCCCTTGTTAGGCTGGGACCTTAGTCCTGGCAGAAAAGCTCCTGAGACCCTGCCCCAAGGCTGTAGTTTCTCAACCACCTTCCTCGATTTCTGTGTCCCGCCCTTCCCAGATTAGCAACTATTTGAACCTGACCTTTGGAATTCAGGAGAGGTCTTCGGGGACTGAAGGAAGCCTGTTTCCTACAAGGAGAAATGGAGAACCTGGAAAGGATTTTACTGGGAAGGGCCCTACAGGGTGGAGTTCAGTTTCCATCGCCGCCCCCCCCCCCCTTTTTAACTTCTCAATCTTGAGAACAGGTGTTGGACAAAAAAGGGAATAACATTTTGGGTAGAGAGCTTAAGCGTAGACTTAGCAGAGGAACTTGGTTTTACGGGGACTCGGTTTCTGTCCGGGGTTGCTTCCTGTGGCCCTCTTGCTAGGGGCTGCCCCCAGGCCAAAGACATCTGGGCCAGAGGTTCCAGGAGACCACTGGGCCTGTCCCCCACCCCACTGGAGAGCTCTGGTACAGCTCTGCGCCACCGCCCCCCCCCCCAGCATGTTCCCCCTCAAGGCAGCTCAGACACCTCAAAAGCCCTTGCTGGGGGTGGGGGTGTGGATCCTGAGCTGCGTTGGAATTCCCAGGGTGGACTTGCTGGGGCCCCGTGTGAGGAAAGCAGGAGAGACTCCATCTTGAACCCTGTCATCCATCTTAAAGACAGGATGTGACCTGGGCCTGAACCCTGCCTGAGAGTGAGGAAACCGTTGTTAGTGAAAACCAGCTTTCTTGGAGACTTCCCTCCCTAGAGGTGACAAACAGAAATTGTAGTTGGGGCCAGGCTGCCTGTTAGGTTAACTTTGGAGACATCCCCCCTTGATGTATAATCATTGTTCCCCCCTTTTAATCTTCATTGTTCTCCTAGCACCTACTTGTTGTAAAACTCAATCATATGTGACTGTTGGGAGCCGCCGGGACGAGAAAGGAACCTGCAAGACAGCTCTTCTCCTCGAGGTTGTCCCAGGGGCCTGGTATGTCCCTTTCTTCCTTCTGTCTTACTGTTGTTGGGCTTTCTATTAGTTTTTGGAAATGATAATTTATAGTAATAAGGCCTCGCTGGAAAAGTCCAAGCCTTTTTGGAAATGCTCAAGATTGGTCTGGCTCAGGACACGACCATAAACATCAAGTCATAAAAGAAAAGGCCACAGGTATAGTTTGGCTGCTTGTTTAAAAGATTATAATGTTCTAGAATAGAAAAGAGTAGAGGTGTTTAGATTTAGTAGATATACTGCTTTAGTTTACTTGCTCCTTGGTTGAAAGGGTTTTCACTGTTGCTATTTCCTTGCTGCTATTTGTTCATTGTTTCCCTTTCTTTAAACAACATGGGATATTATGGGTATTTTTGTAAAATTAGAAAATGGGGTATATAGGATTTTAATAGAAGATTTATATTAACCAGCTTTACTGCCATTATTTTACTATTAATAGAAGTGTTTTGCTGCTTTAAAGGTGTTTTTGCTGTTTAATAGTTAATCGTTGTAAATTGAGATTTTGTGGTTTCAGGTAAAGAAAAATATCAGGTTTTTCTCATGGTACTCTTTTCAGAAATGTTAAACATGTTACTGTAACCCTTCCCATGTATTGTTTTATTGTCCAAAGAATTTACACTATACCTGAGATTTATGAAACATTGTTTTTGTTAGAGTGAGAATGTTAGGCCATTGAGGCAAGAAGATTATGTATGGGATATTTAAGTATAAACCCTGTAATTGGAAACATTCTAGATGAATGCTTAGGGGAAAAACATGGGGAAAAAAATATTGACGGAAGCACAAACCAATATCTGATGTAGTATGTGGTGACTTAAGGGGGAGGTAACATTCATTCTATAAAAACTGAGCTATCCTAAAAATAAAAAAGCTACCTCTTCTACGCAGCGTGTGTGTGTGTGTGTCTCCTCTTGCTGCTGCCGCTCATCCTGAGGGTTCCCCTGGATCTTGCTGGGGCTGGACCCCCGCATGTGACACAGAGGTTGCTAACATGTAGTCATGTAGTCATGACTAACATGCTAACATGCTAGTCATGTAGTGGAGGGTATGAAAACGGGGCTTCAGAAACATCAGGATCCTTGCTGGGAACTGATTCCTGTTGGACCCTCTGGCGTAATGAACTGTATTCCACTCTCTTGCGTGACCTCTGAGGTGTGTTTTTGACTCCAGATTCCACAACAGAATCAGAGGGAATTGAGATAAGGTACTGAGTCACTCTCCCTCTGTGGCCTGCAGGGAAAATCCCCAGGAAATGGCCAAAGCCCCACATAAACAGACAGGAACAGGAGCCAGGCCTCTGCCCCAGGCACTGGGCACTCCACCCCGGAAGGGGCTCGGGGTGGGGAGAAGTGTGGCTCCCAGCCCTGCCCCTCCCTGCGGGCTCCCACTCCGGCCTTTGAACCCCTAGGCCTTATCTCTGCCTAGTTGGCAATCTGGGGGAAGGGGCAGACCCCAGGGAGCCAGTCGCCTCTGCCCAGGCAGGTCTCGGGCAGCCTTGCCTTCTATGGGGAGTGTTTAGGTGGCCCCTTCCATACCTGACTGGACAGACCCCTGACTGACCCTGTGGGGTGTGGCTGGGGTGGGGGAGGAGAAGCTCCAAGGCAGCTGGGAGCCCAGGCCTCGGGACTCTGTCCCAGCGTTCCGTGCCGCCCGGGGCACAGCACCTGGCCACGCAGGAGCCATGGGCGCCGTCCTGCCCCTCCCACACCGCAGGGCGACCTTGGTGGGCCCTGAGGGGGTATGGGGAAGTGGTGGGCATGAGGGGTCCTGGACCCCTGGTTCAAGGAGGAAGGAAGCTGGAAAGACTCGAGTCCGCCTCACACAGTGGTGAAGTCCACGGGCTCAAACTGTCCCTTTTCCTACCCCACCTTGCCATGGCCATTGGGCCGGCTGGAGCTGAGCCCACCTCATCCTGCACTCTTCGGGCTTGGAGAGCTTCAGGGAAAAGGTCTCAGCTCAGACATCTGGTCAGCCCCCCAGGTCCCATGTGCAGGCCTGACCCCACTAGCAGGCCCCCGGACCTCAGTGCCCGTCTGTGCGGGCCCACGTTTCTCTGCTTCATGTCTGCCCCAGCCCCTCCTTCCTAGCCCAGGGCTGCCAGAGCATGTCAGCAGCTTCTCTGCACACCTGCCTGTCCCCCACCACCCCCCGCCCCAGTGCTGGGCAGACCCCCAGGTCCCTCCTGCATCAGCCCATCCAGCAAGCACCAGACACCTTTGTTCACTGCATGATATTCACAGCAGCCCTAGAGCCCATCCCTGGGTGGAGATAAAATGTGCTCTAGACATTTTTAAAATATGGTCTGGATCATCATTCTCCATCTTTGGCTGCAAAGAATATAATCAATCTGATTTCGGTGTTGACCATCTGGTGATGTCCATGTGTAGAGTCTTCTCTTGTGTTGTTGGAAGAGGGTGTTTGCTGTGACCAGTGTGTTCTCTTGGCAAAACTCTATTAGCCTTTGCCCTGCTTCTTTCTGTACTCCAAGGCCAAAATTTGTCTGTTACTCCAGGTGTTTCTTGACTTTCTACTTTTGCATTCCAGTCCCCTATAATGAAAAGGATATCTTTTTTTGAGTGTTAGTTCTAGAAGGTCTTGTAGGTCTTCATAGAACCGTTCAACTTCAGCTTCTTCAGCGTTACTGGTCAGGGCATAGACTTGAATTACCATAATATTGAATGGTTTGCCTTGGAAATGAACAGAGAGCATTCTGTCATTTTTGAGACTGCATCCAAGTTCTGCATTTTGGACTCTAGTTGACTATGAGGGCTACTCCATTTCTTCTAAGGGATTCTTGCCCACAGTAGTAGATATAATGGTCATCTGAGTTAAATTCACACATTCCAGTCCATTTTAGTTCACTGATTCCTAAAATGTCAACGTTCACTCTTGCCATTTCCTGTTTGACCACTTACAATTTGCCTTGATTCGTGGACCTAACATTCCAGGTTCCTATGTTAACAATACCGGGAGCTGACTGTGGATCAGATCATGAACTCCTTATTGCCAAATTCAGACTTAAAAATGAAGAAAGTAGGGAAAACCACTAGACAATTCAGGTATGACCTAAATCAAATCCCTTACGATTATACAGTGAAAGTGAGAAGTAGATTTAAGGGACTAGAGCTGATAGAGAAAGTGCCTGATGAACTATGGATGGAGGTTTGTGATATTATACAGGAGACAGGGATCAAGACTATCCCCAAGAAAAATGCAAAAAAGCAAAATGGCTGTCTGAGGAGGCCTTAAAAATAGCTGTGAAAAGAGGAGAAGCAAAAAGCAAAGGAGAAAAGGAAAGATAAACCCATTTGAATGCAGTTCCAAAGAACAGCAAGGAGAAATAAGAAAGCCTTCCTCAGTGATCAGTGCAAAGAAATAGAGGAAAACAATAGAATGGGAAAGACTAGAGAGCTCTTCAAGAAAATTAGAGATACCAAGGGAACATTTCATGCAAAGATGGACAGAAATGCTATGGACCTAACAGTAGCAGAAGATATTAAGAAGAGGTGGCAAGAATACACAGAAGAACTACCCAAAAAAATCTTCATGACCCAGAAAATCACGATGGTGTGATCATTTGCCGGGGTCCAGCCTCGGCAGGATCCAGGGGATACCCTCAGGATGAACGGTGTTGGAAAGAGAGAAAGAAAGAGAGAGAGAGAGAGAGCAGACGGGGGGGGGGGGGGGTGTGCAGAGTCTGGCAATGCTTTATTTTTTACCGTGGCTTTTATACCCTAAATTAGTACATTTCTAAGGGGAAGATAGTTTAACATTACATCAGCTTGTTCTTCATGAAACCAGGGTGTTTTCTGCATACTTCTTTGTTTGTGAGGGTCTTGTACATTATCTTCTGGCCTTGGGGCCTATTAACATTTTATGCAAGTCAGGTGAATGTAAACCTATTTTCTGTTTCTCTGGTGACCTTAACTGAAAGGTAGAAGTCTCATAGGGCAACAGTACAGAGTAGAAGTATAACCTTGTTAACACAAAAATTAATCCTTCTGCAGGAGTTGTCAGTTGCATTTATCTAAGAAGTTTACCCCACACAGACTGCGGCTTCAGTGAGGCAGCCTCTGCCTAGCATTCCTGGCTGACAATTAGCAACCATCTCATTGTTACCACACTAGGGCTAAGTTCTTATTTCTCTAGATCTTTAACTATATTAACAATGATTTCTATAACACAACCTTAGCACATTAAAAGCAAAAACACAGCAAGCAAACGTCAACCCAATAACCACCTTTAGAATAATTTTTCTTATGTTTTCTAATAGGACTCCTTCACCCCTCAAAAATGCACTATGTCTATTATGGCTTTTATATAATCAGGTTCTTTATGCTATTTTATGATTAGGATATTATAAGCAATCATGCATATTAGTATCAAGGGCATAAATGCATTTGGCTAACAAACTACCAGCAAAGGAGTTTAAATTAAAACACTCCTTTCACCCTGGATAATCTCATAAAATACCACCACCTGGGAAACTTGTTGATTAAAGTTCTAAATTGATTCTTATTTGGGAAGAGATCGGGGAAGGCCTTCTGCCTGTGTCACAGAAATTATGGAGTAGTCTATTGAAGCAAGCATCAGAAAGACAGATATCATTTTTAAGGTGAGTGCCGGGGGCAGCTTTTCGAAACCCCTGAGAACCTGATCCGCCCTGCCCGCCAGGTTTCTCCCTCATGGCCTTGTCATGGGTAGGGTCTCATGTGTTGGCTCCCGGCAATCATTCACCTAGAGCCAGACATCCTGGAATGTGAAGTCTAGTGGGCCTTAGGAGGCATCACTATGAACAAAGCTAGTGGAGGTGATGGAATTCCAATTCAGCTATTTCAAATCCTAAAAGATGATGCTGTGAAAGTGCTTCATTCAATATGTCAGCAAATTTGGAAAACTCAGCAGTGGCCACAGGGCTGGAAAGGGTCAGTTTTCATTCCAATCCCAAAGAAAGGTAATGCCAAAGAATGCTCAAGTGAGTGAGTGAGTGAAAGTCACTCAGTCGTGTCCGACTCTTTGCAACCCAATGGACTATACAGTCCATGGAATTCTCCAGGCCAGAATACTGGAGTGGGTTGCCTTCTCCTTCTCCAAAGAGTGCTCAAATTTCTCAGTTGCACTCATCTCACACCCTAGTAAAGTAATGCTCAAAATTCTCCAAGACAGGCTTCAACAATACGTGAACCGTGAACTTCCAGATGTTCAAGCTGAATTTAGAAAAGACAGAGGAACCAGAGATCAGATTGCCAACATCCGTTGAATCATTGAAAAAGCAAGAGAGTTCCAGAAAAAAATCTACTTCTGCTTTATTGACTATGCCAAAGCCTTTGACTGTGTGGAGCACAACAAACTGTGGAAAATTCTGAAAGAGATGGGAATTCCAGACCACCTGTCCTGCATCTTAAGAAACCTGTATGCAGGTCAGGAAGCAACAGTTAGAACTGGACATGGAAAAATAGACTGGTTCCAAATAGGAAAAGGACTACACCAAGGCTGTATACTGTCACCCTGCTTATTTAACTTTTATGGAGTACATCATGAGAAACGTTGGGCTGGAGGAAGCACAAGCTGGAATCAGGACTGCCGGGAGAAATATCAATAACCTCAGATACGCAGATGATACCACCTTTATGGCAGAAAGTGAAGAAGGACTAAAGAGCCTCTTGATGAAAATCAAAGAGGAGAGTGAAAAAGTTGGCTTAAAGCTCAACATTGAGAAAAGTAAGATCATGGCATCCGTTCCCATCTCTTCATGGCAAATAGATGGGGAAACAGTGACAGACTTTATTTCAGTGGCAGACTTTATTTTTTGGACTCCAAAATCACTGCAGATGGTGACTGCAGCCATGAAATTAAAAGACACTTACTCCTTGGAAGAAAACTTATGACCAAACTAGACAGGATATTAAAAAGCAGAGACATTACTTTGCCAAAAAAGGTCAAGGCCATGGTTTTTCCAGTGGTCATGTATGGAAGTCAGAATTGCGACTACAAAGAAAGCTGAGCGCTGAATTGATGCTTTTGAACTGTGGTGTTGTAAAAGACTCTTGAGTGTCCCTTGGAGTGCAAGGAGATCCAACCAGTCCATCCTAAAGGAGATCAGTCCTGAATATTCATTGGAAGGACTGATGCTGAAATTCCAATACTTTGGCCACCTGATGCAAAGAACTGACTCATTGGAAAAGACCCTGATGCTGAGAAAGATTGAAGGCAGGAGGAGAAGGGGATGACAAAGGATGAGATGGTTGGATGGCATCACCAACTCAATGGACATGAGTTTGAGTAAACTCTGGGAGTTGGTGATAGACAGGGAGGCCTGGCGTGTTGCAGTCTGTTGACTAAAAAAAAAAAAAAAAAAGATGTACAACTTGAGAGTTGTGAGTTAAGTTTATTTGGGGCAAAATGAGGACTGCAGCCCAGGAGGCAGCATCTCAGCTCTGATAAACTGCTCCAAAGCGGCAGTGGGGGAAAGTCAATAAATAAGGTTTTGGTGAAGGGGGAATTCAATACCATGAAGCACTCATTTTACAAAATGTTTGTTAGTCATGAGGATCTGATGTAACCATGAAGGGATTTATCTAGTGCTTCTCTAGATGTGAGGAGATGCAAGGATTGAGACCATAAAATCTGTTTCTAAAAACATCCAACTATTTAAAGAGCTGTCCCACCAGATTCCCTGGAGCTCAGAGTGCCTCACTCCACCCTGAACTCCCTCAGGGATTGTTGAAGGTCAACAGCTATAGCAGCATGGGGTTCAATCTCTGTAGAGGCAGATGGCAAATGCCTTTGTTGTTCAGTCGTTGGCACGGCTCTTGGTAAGTACCAATTTGTAGTTAACAAGTCCATGGGATCGCAAAGAGTTGGACAAGATTGAGCAACCAAACTGAACTGATTCTTCATACTTAGAGGTCTCTAGAGTTTTCAGAATCCAGAATGGTAGGTGGAGGTGGCGGGAGTAGTGGGGGCCCATGAGAAGGGTTCTAGAGACGGGTGGAGGCAATGAAACCCCAAGGACCCTCCCTGGCCTTCTGCCCCTTGGGCTCCCTAGACAGCAGGGCTTTGGGGCTCTGCCCCACCCACTCTCTCAAGGTCACTGGGAGGAGTCCCGAAGGCCAAAGGAGCCTCGGGCTTCCCCAAGCTCAAGCCTGAGTGCAATTCCTAAGTTCTTTGGACCAGCGGCCGAGACTGTGGGCACCACACACAGCACAGTCCACACTCACAAAGTCAGCCACCAGCGGCCACCCTGCTCTCACACACAGACACATGGACACACACGCATGAGCTCTATTCCCTCCAACACACACACACACAGCTCTGAGAAGCTTCACTGGCATCCAGGACTCCTGGGTTCAATCCTAAGCCCTCACCAGCCAGTCCCCACCCCCACCTGTCTTCCTGCACCCCTCTCCTCCTTTTTCAACAACGCTGCTCATTCCCCTCATCTGCTCATGCTGAGTCCACAAGAAGCGCACCTCCTCACTGCACCCTTGAAACACACTTTACCTTGTTGCCTTTAGAAGCCAGATAGGAAGAACCACTAAGAAAATGTTACAGTGAAACTCTGGCTTGCCCCTCGTCCCAACACCATAGCTGCTGAGACTAACCCACCTTGGCACCCAGAGCCTTGGTCTCTGGTTTGCTGCTGTCTGAAGGGCATGGATGTGAACAGCACGGGCCTGAGGCCCTGGAGTGGGCACAGGGAGCAGGGGGTGCTTCCCCACCAGGCGTTGGGCAAGGCCAGGCCAGGGGTCCCGAGTGGTCTACTGGCTCTGCTCCTGGGTGAGGACCGCCCTTGGCGCCTATCAGCTGGGTCTTCAGGGAGGCCTGTGTGAGGACGGGCCCTCCTGCAAAGGCATAAGCCTGCCCCAGCTGCCCGTCTCCAGGGCCGAGAGATGCTGCCGGGGCTGTGGCCACACTGCCAAGCCTAGGCAGCACAGCCTCCTGCTCTCAACTGGGGGTGGCTATGGCTGGCAGATTTAGTCAGCCCTGCCTGTTTTTCAAACTGTGCCCACCAGGGAGGCCAGTGCCTGCTCCCAGGGCCCAGAGGACAGACAGGGAAGGGCTGGAAGGGGAGGAGTGCCCTCAGCAGCAGAGAGATCAGAAAACAGCTTTATTGGGAAGAGGGGACTCCAGACGCACAAACAGACACAGACAGGTGGTCGTGGACAGCAGGTGTCCAGGGAAGTGGGAACCATGGTGGAAGGCGGGTCTGGGGGGCCAGGGCTCAGGAGTGCAGGAAGCGGTTGAAGGCATTATAGGCTGATTCCAGGTCGAAGAGCATCTGGCGCACCTGGGAGTCGTCCAGCTCATCTGAGGCCGACATGCCGCTCAGGGTCTGCAGCCTGAGGGGCACAGGGTGTAGCGTCTGTGTGTGTGTGGTGCTGGAGGATGAAGGCTATGGGGCTGGGGTGTGTGTGTTTATGTATATATGTGTGTGTGGAGGGCTACAGGGCTCAGGTGTGTGTGTATGTGTGGGGGGAGGGGCTATGGGGCCAGAGCATGCGTGCATGCGTGTGTGTGTGTGTGTGTGTGTATAGCTATGGACCCAGGGGGTGTGTGCGCAGAGGAGGGGGCTGGGGCTAGAGTGTGGGGGGGTGGAGCTGGGGGGCTGGCAGGCGACAGGCACTCACCACTGGCTGACCGTCTGGCGGCCCTCGAAGTCAGGGGGCAGGTGGCTCATGCGGTGCATGGTCTCCATCAGCTCCCGCAGGTCAGGCTGGATCTGAGGGAATAGCGCCCACTGGGACCCGCTCCCCCGAGCCTGGCTCCTTGGACCCCCCACTTCCCCCTTCCCCTTGCCCAGGGCCGCACCTCATCCATGGCTCGGATCTCCAGGCGCAGCTTGTCCATCACCGTGATAAAGAGCTGGGAGCAAGTGTGTGTGCGTGTGATGACCTTGACCCCCGGCTCAGACCCCCGACACCCTGGTTCCTCTGCAGAGAGGGGCCTGGGGCCGCCCCACCCCGCCCCTTGACCGCCTCAGCTGAAGGGTCACATGGGCCTCCCCGCCCCCGCCCCCATTCCTGCAGCCAGGAGGCTACTGGGTGGAAATGCAGGACACGCCCCACATGGGCCTGGGATGGGGTGGGGCCTTGGGGTGGGCCCCCAGCCCTCATGCCGGAGACCCCCGCTGCAGTTCGGCACACGTGCACAGGGCCCGCACCGAGACCACGTCGGCGATGCAGCGGTTCAGGTTGCCTTTGTCATCCTTGATGGTGATGGGCCGATCCTCCTTGATCCTCTCCATGGCCAGCGGGCAGTCCAGCTGAGGGGGGGGATCACGGCTGGGCCTCACAGGGCAGCCCGGCCGCAGCTGCGGGCCCCCATGCCTGCCCGTGTCTCTCGGGGTGAAGGAGTTGCTCACTCACGCGAAACTTGCGGCAGAATTCATCAATGGAGCTGATTTCTGAGCCTTGGACTTGCCGGAAGGCCGCCTTATACTGGACCAGGAGTCGGGAGCAGGCTGCAGTGTACCTGGGGAAGAGGCCAGGCTGCTGCCCGAAGTGCCAGGCCAGCGCCTCCAGGTCCCTCCTGCTTATCCTCTGCCCTTCCAGACATGGGGCAGCTCACATGGACAAGATGTGAAGGGCCAGAGACCAGTCATGTGGGTGGAGGCTTCCTGATGAAGCTTTGAAAGGTGCAGGGGGTGGGGTGGGGGGGTAATGCCCCAAATATGGCTGCCACAGAGGACCAGCCTGGATTATGCAAGTTGGCACCCAACGCAGCGACCCGCAGGTCCCAGAGCCTGTTTCCTGGGCTGTGTTGGCTGTGCCCCCACATGGACAGCTCACAGTGCTGCTGGGGGGCACCACCGTACTAGACAAAGGCCCCACATACCTCCGGGCTGCCAGGCCTGGCCAGCAGCTCCCCATGGACTGACTGCCCGGGCTCCCAGCTCCCCTTCAAAGCATTCTCACTGATGAAGCTCCAGGGAGCGGGGCGGGGGCAGAACCCGGGAGAGAGCTGGGCTCAGCCCTGCCCGTGCGTGGGCGCTGCCCCCGGACTGCCCGGCCTCCTCCCCACTGAGCACCTGGCCCTGGAGGCCAGAGACGAGCTTCCGAGGGTAGGCCAGTGGTGTGGGGAAGTGGGCTCTCACTCGTTGGGGGTGACGCAGTCCTTGATATACGCCTTCTCCAGGGCCTGCATTGTCTTCACAACTGCAAACAGCTCTGCCATGTTGTCGTACCTGAGGGGGCGCAGACTTCAGGTGCGGCTGCCCAGGCAGGAAGCCGAGGGCCCGAGCACACCTGCCAGCCCTGCCTAGGTGCCACTGAGGCAGAACTCCTGGTCTGGCAGCCTCCTCACCCCACCCTGAACAGAGGCTTCTGGGGATCTGTTTCCCTGGGCAGACCCCCAGGGTAGGGGAGGCAGGCAGCCTGGGGGCCGGACTCACTTCTCCCGCTCACGGGCGTTCTTGTACAGTTTCACTTCCTGTCAGGAGACCAGGCGGAGGGTCAGCCAGCAGCACAAGGGAGGCTGCGGGGCCCCAGTGAGGACCACGCAGACGAGAATCACAGCTGATGTGACCAGGAGGGTGCCCACCACTCACCTCATACAGCTCCGGCTTGTTTCCAGGGGCTGTGACAGAACAGGCAGAGTGGAAGTTCACCCCAGCGAGCCTGGCCGCCACCCTGGCCCCAGGAACTTCAGTCCCAGCCCCCCTCAATCTGTGGGGGACCCGAGCAGAGGACAGGCCTCTTGGTCCAGGGACTGCACGCCAGGCCTGGTGCTCCATTCCACCCCTGTTGCTCAGCTACTGCCCCTACAGCTGAGTGACCACAACTTGCTTACGATGTAGTTGTGGGCACACAATGTCTGTCACATGCTTTGCAACCATCCCCTTGACTTGGGGACTCCGGGATACTTGAAGTCCAGCCACACTACAGCTGTCATCTCTGCGTCCAGCTGACCCCACTTGGAGGAGGTCTTTGGGCCCCTGGCTACCGCCTTGGACCTTGCCGTGTCGGACCTTATAGCCTGCCAGCAACCCCTGGCCTCCAGAGGTTGAAAGCTTTGGCCCTCTGGGTCCCTGGGCCCAGCATGGGCCACACTCACCTCCCATGCCAGGAGTGGCTGGGATCCCATGAAACATCCTACCGGCTCTGAGTCAGGTGACCGGGAGAGAGAGGAAGATGCTGCAGCCACTGGAGGGGTCACCTGGGGAAGAGAACATACAACACAACCTCTTAAAAAACAACCCCAAGCATGTCTTCGCACAGGAATAAATTTGGACGAACAGACCAACGGGGGTTGGGGTGAACTTTCTGAGTGAGGACAGTCCAGGGGATGAGGACAGAGGCGGACGGGGGTGTGTGTGGGGGTGGTGGTTTGTCAAAGGACGCACCACTCACAGGCCAAGAGGAGTCTGGGCTTATCCTGGCACAGCGAGGTGGAGTCACTGGACGACTGGCGACAAGTCCTCGGGGATCCAGATGGGCAGTGAGCTGAGCAGACAGTGGAAGCAGGAGCCCTGTCCACTTGAGAAGCTGATGCAGTGGCTGGGGCCAGTTTCAGACGTGCTTTGGAGATGGACCCACCAGGTGCAATGGAGAATTTAAAAATGGGTAAAAAAACGACACCCTTATTTTCGGACCAAAGGCACCATGACCATGAGATGAGATGACCCGGAGAAGGTGAACAGAGTAGGTGTGTGTACTACGGTTTGGACGTGTGGGCTTTGGGAGGCTCCTTAGGTTCCAAGGAGGCTGCCAGAGGCGCGTGGAGGTCAGGGGAGAGGCCCAGATGGGCAGGCTGAGCCAGTGGCACTGAGCGGGTGGGTGGCGCCCCACAGGAAATGGCTGAAGGTGAACCAAGGTAGCGGGAAGGCAGCCCGTGCTGAGCCCCGGGACCGGCGCGGAAGCAGTGCAGCGGAAAGGCGGGATGAGGCCTGGGGGACGAGGCTGTGAGTTCAGCAGGGCGCGGCGGGGGCGGGGTAGGGACACGGAGATCGCTCAACAACCGTGAGGCGGTGGGACGGCCAGGAGCAATCAGGGACTCGGCTGCTACAGCGGGACCCCACGCAGCCACGAAAGGGGAGGCCCGCGGCCACACGCTGAGCATCGTCACCCTGCACGACCAGGGCGGCGAGCTCCCAGAGAAAGCCCAGCGAGCGCCGGGAGCGCAGGCCCGGGAGACGGCCCCAGAGCCCCGGGCGGAGCCAGGAGACCCGGGGGCCCGGGACACAGAACTCTAAGACGGGGACCGAGGAGCAGGGGCGCAGAGGGCCCTCCGCGGCGTGGCGAAGACCGCGGGTTTTGGTCAGACCGCCTTTTCCGCCCGTCCCTGGCCCGGAGTACCTGGACCGCCTCGCAGGTCCCAGCGACGGCGCGGGGGCGGGGCGCACCAGACGTCTGCTCCCGCGCCTGCGCGCCAGGCCCCGCCGCCTGCGCCTGCGCACGCTACACCTACGCCAGGCCCCGCTGTCTGCGCCTGCGCGCTACCTACACCGCCCCCCCCTCCCCACCCCCTCTCCTGAGAGCTCAGCCGTCGGGTGAGTCTGTCTTTGGGAGAGGGAAGGAAGCTGCAGAATTTTCTTTGCGTTTCCCTGGAGGACCTCTAAGCGGCCAGCTCTCCCCTTGAAACTGCCCCGCAGGGTTAACAGAAACTGGTAACAGAAACCTTAGAGTTTGTCTTACCGCTTGTTAAGAACCCCGCGGTAAACAAGGACCTACTGTATATAGCGTGGGGAATTATATTCAGTCTCTTGTGATAACCTATAATGGAAAAGAATCTGAAAATGAATGTGCATACACACATATATGAAACTGAAGTAATACTGCAAGTTAACTGTGTGAAAGTTTGCTGCCTCACGGACTATATACAGCCCACGGAATTCTCCAGGCCAGAATACTGGAGTGGGTAGCCCTTCCTTCCCTCAGGCCCTCCATTTGTAACCTGTCTTCACGGATCGAGCTTGCTCTAATTGTTGATACAAAAGCTTGCATGTCCGACGCTAAAACTGGCCCTGCTCCGGGGTCCAGTGAATGACCTCTTGCCTTCAGAGCCCCACCCCATCATGTGCCACCATTTTTAATGTGTCCCATGAAGAAGCAAGTAATTCGATGTGCCTCTGCAGAACAGATGACCTCACCTCTTCCCTGCCTCCAAGGTTCTCTCCCCACACCTAAGACCATCCTGCTTTTTTGGAGTGGGGGGGTGGTGGTGGTTACTGAGGCTTGTAGGATCGAACCTAGGCCATTGGCAGTGAAAGTGCGGAGTCCTAATCACTGGACCACCAGGGAATTCCAACTGGCTTCTTTATACTGTAATGTCACAAGCCCCTCACCTTTGAGGAAGCAAATATGAAACCTGTCCTCTCATCACCTCACTTGGCTGCCTTGTGAATAAATCCTTCCTCTGCTGCAAACCTTGGTGTCTCTGGGTTTTGGCTCGCTGTTTCCTGGGCAGAGGAACCTGCCCCAGTAACATCCTCAGTTCCAGAGGGCTCTAAGCTTCACAACCCTGCCTTCCACCTCCCACTTGCCTTCCAAGGAGCAGCAGCAGAGAGGGGTGGAGGCAGCATTGGCTTTTTTATTAGAGGCCTTGGTGGGTGGGGAGGGCACACCATGGGGCTGGCCAGTCAGAGGTGCCTGAAGAAGAGCTTGGGGCCCTGGTCCATGGTGCACACTCTGGGGCTCAGCTGGCTGGGCAGCAGCTGATGCAGGGCATCCCGGTCCTCAGCAGAGAGACGTCTGGTGCACAGCTGCAGCTCCTGCAGCTGTGCCACAACCTTGTCCCAGAGGTCCAGGCCCAGGGGACCCTGGACAGCACAGCCTGCAGAGGGGAGGCAGAAGTCAGCCTTGGGGAGCTGCTCCTGGCAGGATGCAGTTTCTCAGGTCTCAGGACTTTTCTCTTTACCAGCCTGGCCCTAGGGACGATATACACTTCCCCTGAGGCCCCGAGGGCTGCAGTGAGGGCCATGAGCAAAGCCCAGAAGAGGCCAGATCATTCTCGAGGATGGCGAGTGCTCTCCCAGAGGCTGCCTAGGACCGCAGACCCCTCCCACAGCCAGTGGTCAGGCAAGAGGGAGGTCGGCTGTAGGAGACACTGCATTCACATCTGTGCCTCTGACACTGTCTGATGATGTCTCAGTCCTTAAGATGGACCCAGCGTGGTTTCTTGGGAGTCTCAGGACACTGAATTGCCAATGCTCAATCCTCAGAGACCACAGAGTACCCAGCAGGGAGCTTGGTGAGAACATGCAGGTGCCAGGAAGCCAGATGTGTGAGGAGCAGCCCCACATCTGAGTGACGGTAGATCGCCTACCAGCCTGCCTTCAGGAGGGCCTTCCTGGAGGAGCCAGCCTGGCCCTGTGGGGCAGGGGGCAAGAAGCAGGAAGAACCCAGGGGTCCCCAGTGTGCACACCCACTCCCAGTCCTGGTTCTCCTGGAGGGCCCAGTCTGGTCTGCCCTGCCCCCAGCCCCAGCAGGACGCGGCAGTTCACCAAATGCACCTCCCTGGGGTCGTTCTCAAGACGGGGTCCTGCACCAGGTGTGGCCAGAGAACCACCTAAGTCAGGCCATAGGCCTAGACGGTATGGTCAAGGCACCCTGGCCAGAAGCAGGAGGGTCCCTTGGAGGCAGGTATTGCCACTCTAGGCTGATTTCCCCTCCCTCCCTCTGGACAACAGGAACAAAAAAGTCCCTGCGGCAGCAGGTCCCCCAGCGGGTCTTGAGGGTCAGGCTGACCAGGCTGGAGGCAGAGGCCCATGCTCCTCCTGCCCTGTGGTTTGAGGGGTGAGGCTCGCACCTGCCTCTGGGCACAATGGGCACTGTCCTCCACTCGAGCACCCAGGGGCCCAGCTCCACCCTGCAGCCTGGCTAGTGGCAGGACAGCCCCTTCAGAGGAGGCACCTGGGCTTTAGGCAGGTCCCAGAGCAGGGGCTGTGTCACCAGCTCCAGTTGGGCAGGTGTGGCCACCACACCCAGAGCTCACCTGACAGGCCCAGGAAGCTGAGGCCTTGGGGCCGCTTTTGGAGGGTAGCCAGGAGCTCCTCCAGGCCAGCACCACTGACCTCAGGGTTGGCAGACAGGTCCAGCGAGACCAGTGAGGGGCAGAGAGGGAGACATCTGAGACAGGGCAGAAGCCTGGGGGTCAGTTTCCGCCATGAGGGGAAGCCTCCCCAGGTGACCCCACGGCTCGGGATGCACCAGACACTCCTGAGAGCCACTGAAGCTGGAGGCCATGGAGCAGTGGCCCTGGCATGGGCCGTGGCACACGGGTGGCAGGACAGGACCCAGCAGAGGGACGTGAGAGCCCGAGGGAGGCAGGTCGTGAGGCCCCAGCCTCCCCAGGTGCCCAGGTATGAGACCAGACCCACAGGGTAGTAGTGGCGTTACCTGCTCAGAGCTCTCACGTCTGTGTCGCCCAGGTGGTTTGCCGACAGGCTCAGGTGCTCCAGGACGCAGCCTTCCTAGACAACGGAGGGGGACACCTGCCTTCCCTGCCTCCCAGTAGAGGCCCTGCACCCAGGGCGCCAGACACCACCCCCATCCCTTGAGAATGATGGAGTGAAGCCTGCCCAGCCCCCGAAGCCAGAGGGGGTGGCATCCCCCCAAGTCTGCAGGTCAGAAGAACATGCTTCTACCCAGAGGAGTGGGTCATACTTGGCACATCACGAAGTGATCTCAGGAGACCCGCCCCACCCAGGTACCTTTCCTGCTGGCCAGGACCTCAGAGCCCCAGGCAAGCAGGTCTGTAGAAAGCGTTCCCCACCCCTGTTCTCTGCCAACTTGCACCCTCTCCCAGCTCCCCCGCCCCCAGTCCCGGGGGCCAAGGTGCCTCTGGCTCAGTGCCCCCTTGAATGCATACCTGGCTCAGATAGCGAACCACGGGCTCCGTGAGACCTAGGCCACTCTTGCCGGTGGCCACAGAGCTCAGCTCCAGGCGCAGGAGGCTGTGGGCCGGCAGGCTCCCCAGGACCTGGGCCAGGGCAGTGGGGCCCAGGCCATTGTAGGACAGAGACAGTGTCTTCAGGCCCTTGGTGTCTACACGGAGGCCAGAACGCCCATCAGGTTCCTCCCCGCCCCCAGGCCTGGGCCCAGAGCCCCCGTGACCCTTGGGAGGCCGTCACCCTCCCGAGGGTCTGTGCGC